TCACGAGGGTCTCGTGCCTTTTTGTCCCTTTACAATTATTCTTTAAACAGTGTGGATATATTATGTTATATGTTTACATAAACATGAACCCAGGCATATTACTTGCACAGCTAGCTAGCTTTGAGGAAGCTCCCTTCACTCCTCTGTCATGTAGAACATTGCCTTCAGTGCATGTCCTCCAGAAGGACTGAGAAGGTGCCAAGCACTGAGTAGGATAATCTGTTACCTGGTTGCTTTAAGAAGCTAAATTCTGAGAGGATGGTAGGATTTAGAGAGGACAAGCTCTTGCACCAATATGTTCTCCTCTCTCTGTAGGCTTGTTTCTAATAACATTTAAGGTGTTAGGTTTGATCACGTTGAACTTTGTAATTGTTGTGAATAATCCTCCTCCCAACTTAATGTTAGAGCTGCAGGTAGCAGTTTTAGCTAGGATTAAAAACAGAAATAAATTAAATAGTTTGGATATATATTCCCAGAAGGATGTATTGGAAGAGATGCTGCTTTTTCAGAGATAGAACTAATCCTTAATATTTTACTTGATTTTTAAAATTATTTTTTCAGGGTGTTACACACATTGGCTACACAGACCTGCCCAGCAGAAAGGCTAAACAGGCCAGTAGTCTGTATTCCAATAATATTCAACCTCCTAAAGGCTATTAGTTCTGACAAAGAGAACTTCTACTTTGATCCAAAAGATGAATTTGATTACGGGACTCTGGATCATGTTATTAGAGGAACTGTAGTAATGAAGGTAAGTCAGTAAATATTCTCCTCTTAATTTGTGAGTACATACTTGTACATTTATTAGTGCTTTCTCTTTAAAATGCATTCAAAGATACTGCATATCAACAGACTTCAGAGGTGGCTTGATGGAGAGCATGGGTAATTGTGTTTGTATTCAGCTGAATATTCCTCTGTCCTTTTTTGTGAAAGGAAACCTCTTTGCTTTTGCCTTCTTGTCAAGGTTAAACAAATACCTAATGTGTCTACTATTGAAAAATAGGAAAAAGATTAAATTTGCATGTTGTATTCATGTGATAAAAGCATAGTTATTTAAAATATTTTTGAAACATTACTATAGGACCGGAAAAACATTCTGCCTTTATTTTTTTAAAATAACTACATGTTTCTGTTGTTATAAGAATAACTTCAGAAAAAAAACTGGTGGAACTAGAATATGCAGGTTAATTTTAGCTCTATTAGGACATAATAAAATACAAACTGGGGGCATCAGCCAGTACTGGCTCTCCTTGTGCAACTGTTAGGAATTAATAATCTGCAATTTGGGTAGAGATATTCATTTATGTTGAGTTTTGCAGTATAATATTGCCAATGTTTTGTAGTGCTTATTAATATCTACTCTGGAGGAAGCTTGCATTGACTTCAGCTCTCTCAAATCACTACTTTAGTACAACTTTTAGGTCTGACAACTCCAACAGTTCCTCTAGAGTCCTGGAGAACAGCAAGAAATGTGAGACATCATGTCTGGAACACAGCATCACAGAATATTAGGAGTTGGAAGGGACCTTGAAAGCTCATCCAGTCCAACCCCTCTGACAGAGAAGGATCACCTAGACCAGGTCACATAGGAATGCATCCAGGCGGGTTTTGAATGTCTCCAGAGAAGGAGACTCCACAACCTCTCTGGGCAGCCTGGTCCAGTGCTCTGTCACCCTCACAGTGGAAAAGTTTTTCCTCATGTTCACATGGAACCTCCTATGTTCCAGCTTGCTCCCATTGCCCCTTGTCCTGTCATTAGACATCAGAGAGAAGAGCCTGGCTCCTTCCTCCTGACACTCACCCTTTACAAATGTATAAACATTAATGAGGTCACCCCTCAGTCTCCTTCAAGCTAAAAAAAAAACCAGCTCCCTCAGCTTGCTGAGGTCTGGGCAGGCTCTGATTACAGTTCAGATCTGTAGCAGAACTTGCTTTTTCCAAGACCTTGTTTTATTTTGGATAATTGCTTTTCATTTAAGGAACTTTCCCTCTGTTTGTTTGTTTGTTCGTTCCTGCTTTCAAGACCTGTGCTGTGTTTCTGCCAGGTCCTCTTGGACACTGATATTAAATCTTGTCTGAAAAATGCGTAAACTTGGTCATGCTGTACTGATCATCCAGCCTTGCAAACTTCTGCTCATGTGGGGGGAAAAAAGATGATGTTCTTGTGGCATGGCTTTAGGTTCTTAAGACTTATCTGAGTCGCAGGATTGAGAAGAGTAGACTCCTTGAACTATAATGCATCTGCCATGTTAGGGATAACTGTAAATATCTCTTGTTAGGATGGCAAGGTGATTTTCCCAGCATCTCCACCAAATAACATTCCTGAAGGACCCTCTGTGAAGCAGAAGACTGTAGCAGAGCTGGAAGCAGAAAAAGCAGCTACTATTACACCTTTTAGAAAAACTATGACTAGTGCATCTGTATACACAGCAGGTAGGTAACTTCCAGTGCTGAAGAATTAGTGTCAAGTGTTCCTCATTTGGCTAATACTTTTCAGTGACTTCTCATTTTACTCATTCCATTTAATAACTGGCTGATGTATCTAGTGCAAAAACAGTGTAGTGTAATTGCTTTTGAGAGGGGAAAATAAAATTTTAGAAGTTTAACCAAAAAATATTAACACTTCAAACCGTGCTGACTCATGCTGTGTGCATGTATGTGTGTTTGGCTTTATTTAAATATCAGTAAAATACTTAAAATTCTGAAGGACTCCTGCTAGGGACTGTGCCCATACTTTGCAGCAGAATCAATTTAATGCCATTGCTTTCTTCAGTATTTATGTTATTTTATGAGACTTAAATGCCCACAATCTACTGAAGTATTAGGAACAGGACATTGTCTTGACAAATAAATATTTGCTCTTTCTGTCAATTGGTATTCTGTGTGCATCAGAACTTCTGCACGAGGTAATTAATGAACAGAGTATCCTTAATGTTAACCTCTGTTCTTCATACTCTTTGAGTCTTTCAAGTAGTATCTCAACATGATTGTGACTCTTCTACATGTTTGCTATAGAACAGGGGTGTGATGAGCCAGCGTTGGGGAAGAAACCTATCTTTGCTGCTTTGTCTGCATGCATAACAAAGATGTTGGTATTATATTTATGGATTCATTTTATATTGGAAAAGAACCACTAGCACTTAAAGAGCCTTGTAGTTGACAAGTATGATCCAGCTGATCTTGAAATAAAACTATGCACAAAATTTCTTTTGCCTTTTAGCTCAGTACTGGACTCTTCTTGTACAGAGTTTAAGTGTAAGAAACAATTGAAAAGTTATAGAGAAGTTGTGCTGTGCTTCCAAGTTTACCAGGCATGTTAGCACTGGGCATCATAGCTCCTAACACTGCTTTCACACAAATTATGACATTTGGCCTAGCTGAAATAGTGGGGTACCATACAATATGGGGTGTGACTCCTGCTCTTCACTCTCCACTCATGTCAGTGACTAATGCAATCTCAGGTAAGTAGCTGTTATACAACTTCTTGTTTTCTATTTGAAATAAATACTGTTCCTTTTACTTGAACTATAGACAAAAGTCTGCTGATATGCCTTTTAAAATGCCAAAGAGCCTAGTACTACTTTGCATCTCTGAGTTGTCCTTGCTATTTATGAAAGTAATCTGGAACTTCTTTTCAAGAGTATGTTTTTTCAAAAGAAAGGCAAATGTGGTGCTGTGTATTTTTTGGTTTTGTTTTTATAAGTAATTTTCAACTCTTAAACTGTTTGCTTTAAAGTTTGTTTTACTTGGAGTGCTACAGTCTCTCCTTTCATACAGTACATCTTTCCTCCCAAAATGTTGCCCTGAAAAAAACTTGTCTTTCATGTTTTCTGCTTTCTTTTTTTCCTCTCTTCAAACTGTGTTTTGAGGAAGAGGGAAAAAAGAAAAATTTTCAAACAGTGACCTGTAAGATTCATAACCTTATAAATATATAAGATTTTATGTATCTGCATGTGTATATATGTGACAGGTCATGAGTCTGATCTATTTTGACTATTAAAAACAAAGGTTTTTTTAATCGAACAAGTACTTGAGGCTGACTGTGCTTGATGTACTGTACTTCAAAACTACATTAATATACTATTTTTTTTCTTTGGAAACATGCTTATATTGCTGAAAAAAGATCATGGCAGTCTTTGTTTAAATAGTAATATGTAGAGTAGGGGTAAAAATGTGAGTTGACTGGTGTATTTTTGACAGGTGGAAGGAAACTTGCTCTAGGTATAGAGCCTTTTAAGGTTCAGTAACACTTTTTTCCCTTTTAAATAGGAATAACTGCAGTTGGTGGACTGGTATTAATTAGAGGAAACTATCTCCCTGAAAACACTCCTCAAAGTCTACCAGTGCTTTCAACCTTTATCTCTTCAAGTCAATATTGCAGGTATGAATGTTAAGTGTTTTGCTTTTTTTTTTTTTCCCCTTCCCTGAGGCTAACTTAAAGCATCTGTGTAACTCTCTTAATTCTTCTAGCTCTTGCAGTGTGTAAATTCCAGAAATATTCTGGGAATAGAGTTTGAGAGCATCCATCAATAAAGAAAAAAAACCCCAAATTTAATGGTAGTTACTGTATCTGGTTCACACATCCTGTTCACACATCTCTTTTTAGAGAAGCATTTAAATGTGCATTTTTCTTTTACAGTATCCTTTGAGTGATGATTATATAAAATAGCTTTTTCCTGTATAACCCAAGATGGTACTGCATTTCTTTGTATTCCTTTTCCCACTTGAAAAATATACTAGTGGCATAGAATAAAATTCTGCTTGCTCAGTATTCACAAGTCCCAGCTTCATGAATAAAAAAAGATGCAAAAGTGAGCAATGTGACTTATAAATACATTTTTTGCTAGAGTAGACAGGGAAAAGAGCATAGTCATAAACTAAGCTGTACCCTATAGTCAGCATAGAGTATGGAGTCAGAGCAAGTCCTCCAGGCTTTCATAAATTCCCTCCTAAGGTTAAAAAGGACAACAGGATCTCACCCTGATTACACTTTTTTTTCCCTGGTTTTCCAGCTTGCTAGATTTTCAGAGGTGTTATTGCTGTCAGTTGCTAACTTTGTGTGGTAATATGGTTCAACCAAATATTTCTTATAGCTTGGCATATGCTTAGTTTTGGATTTTATTTCTTAAAACTTGTTGCTTTCTTTTGGCCAGGTGGGTTTATAGTTACACAGAGAATGCTGGATATGTTTGAACGTCCCACAGACCCTCCTGAGTACAACTACTTGTACCTTCTTCCTGGTGGTGTATTTGTAGGAGGCTATGCAGCTGCTCTCAAGGGTGGCTATAATATTGAACAGGTAAGAAGATAACATTTTGGCACTCAGCCTGCTGTTCACAGCATGGTATGCTTCTTCACTGCTTATTCTGTTAAGGAGCAAATAGCAAATTAGCCATCGTCTTTTAATCAGCTGTGAATTCCAACAAAGCCAATATGAAGTTGATTAAGTTTGTAATTATACCTCAAATGCTGAATCTGCAAATTTTAAAAGCTTTAATTCCCCCCGCCCATATCTAAAGCAGCAGGTACTTTGTTACTTATTAAACAGTTTTCCAAAATTGCATCTTAAATGTTGGAGTGACTATAGAAGCCAGTCTTCAGTTTAAATGTTTCTGAAAGTTTGAGTGTCACTTAAAGTAGGTATGAGATCTGGATGGGATGAGACTTCAGCACAGAGGGGAGGATGTACAGGGTTTTTACCTATTAGAACCTTCTATGGTAGACAGACTTCTGTTTGCATTTGTTTTAAAAGAGAAACCAATGTATATTGCCTTTTGTGTTTGGAAAAAGTGAATCCAAGCATAGCTTTATCCTGGGGGCTTGCAAAGCATTGAGATTTTTTTTAGTTATCTAGACATGTATAGCTGAGTTCATTTAAACTTGTTTATAGTTTTTGAAAACAGGAGTTCAGATGCACCATAAGCAAATTCCAAAACTATTCCTATAATGAACAGGACAGTTTAGCTTTGGGATTGTACTAAAGAAAAACTTGCTTCTGAACAGTTTAGGAAAGTTGGCTTGATGCAAGTTTAGTATTCACAGTGCAGAAAAACTAAGCTCATAAAGTGGGGAAAAATCTTTAATAGATATCACATATTAATTGGTCAAAATCGCATCCCATACAATTTCTCATAGTGAAAAGTTTGACTTCCACTTCAGTTAAGAACAAACCATCCCGTGACTTATACGCATTCTGGAGAAATTTGCCCTTTTGTGTAATAATCAGAAATATTTTGATAATGATTATGTACTTTGTGCCTCTACTTCACGAATGCATATTGATGTTTTTCTTATTTTAAAGATGATGTATCTGGGCTCAGGCTTATGCTGCGTTGGTGCCCTGGCTGGTCTGTCTACCCAAGGAACAGCTTGTCTTGGAAATGCTTTGGGTATGATTGGTGTTGCAGGAGGTTTAGCAGCAACTATTGGAGGCCTTAAACCTTCATCTGAATTGTTGTCACAGATGTCAGGTGCAGTGGCACTCGGTGGTACCATAGGTATGTGTATGATACTATAAACTAACAATATATGCTCTATACACGTATTTATGCAAGCTTTATATACACAAAATATTGTATAGGTCACAGGTAAATTGACTAACTTACATTTATGGCTTACTTATGTTATTTTGCAAATATGTGAACAAAGAATCATAAGTCCCAGGGCTTTTATTAGTGCATCAGGATGCGGTAAAGAATGGAGAGACTGGTGGAAAAGCAGAAGCACGTCATCTCTGTTAGGGAAACTGGGTACACAGAGGTAAATGAACTTGCCCAACTTCATACTTCTGTTCAGTTGCTGACAGAATGCTGCCAAATTCACTTTTTCACACTGTGCTTTCTTAACAGAAAATGTTGAATTTCTCAATATTTAATGAAGCTTCTAAGAACATGACATGCTTTATTCTTCTCTCTAATTTCCATGATATCCTCATTGCATAAAATGCACATACGCAGCTTTCAGTTACATGCCATTGCAATTTCTAGTGTAGAACAAGTCTTTCCATTGGAACAGGCATGTGTGTGTGTGTATTCGTTACACACTGAACCATGATATATCAATTTCTAGTTGCACGGATTAGTTGTGTTTTGTAAGACTTCTCTCCTGTCTTCAACTCTTAATAGGTTTGGCGATTGCTAAACTCATCCAGATTACAGGTCTGCCTCAGCTTGTGGCTGCTTTCCATAGTTTGGTTGGTTTGGCTGCTGTGCTCACCTGTGTAGCAGAATACATAGTCGAATATCCTCACTTCGCTACTGATCCAGCTGCAAACCTCACCAAGATTGTGGTGTACCTTAGCACATACATTGGCGGGGTGACTTTTGGTAGCTCTCTTGTTGCTTATGGAAAACTGCAAGGTGAGACCTTCCATTCAGTACTAAGTACTGGTTGTCCAAGAAGTAATTGCATCGTTTTGATTTTGTTTTGATTTGTTTTTGGTTTTTGGGTTTTTTTTTAGTAGATGGACATACACATCTTGAAAGGTAACTAACTTAAATTTAAACTGCAAATTCATTATGTAAATTGACAGCTGACAGGTCAAGCTTGTTTTAGGAAAAGAAAGGGCACAATTTCATTAACGATTATTTATTTGACATCAAGTTCAAAATGGAAAAGCAAAATGAACATTTTTGTCATATTTTGCTGTATTACTTCCAAAAAGGAAAACACGCTGTGCAAGCTCATCAAAAGTTATGTGAAGTGTATGGTGAAGATGCTTTAAAACAGTGTCAGAATTGGTTTGCTAAATTTCAGTCAGAGATTTTGATGTTAAAGATGCACCACGCTCAGGAAGGCCAACTGAAGTTGATAATGACAAAATAAAGGCATGGATCGAATCCAATAAGCGTTTAATGATACAAGAGATTGCTGATAATCTGAACATATTGAAATTGAGCATTGAAAACCATTTAAAACAACTTGGCTACATTAGGAAGCTCGATATTTGGGTACCACATGAGCTCAAAGACATTCATCTCACTAAGTGCATTGACATTTGCGATTCTCTCTTGAAACATGAAAAAAATAATCAATTTTTGCAATTATAACAAGCAATGACAAATGGATTGTCTACAACAACGACGAATGAAACAGAACGTGGAGCAAGCGTGATGAACCAGCTCAAAGCACTTCAAAAGCAAATATTTACCAAAGGAAGGTTACGCTGTCAGTCTGGTGGGAGTTCAAAGGCATTGTGTGTTTTGCATTGCTTCCAAGGAAATAAAACATTAATTTGTTCGTGTACTGTTGTCAACTGGATAAATTAAATTATGCCATCGAACAGAAGCCTCCAGAATGGGTGAATCACAAAGGTGGTGTGTTTCTCCATGATAACGCTAGACCACATACAAGTTTGGTCACTCGTCAAAAATTGTTGCAGCTTGGATGGGATGTGTTACCACATCCACCATATTCACCAGACCTGGCACCATCAGGCTACCATTTGTTTTGTTCTTTACAAAATGCCTTGCATGGTAAAACCTTCACTGCTGATGAGGATATCAAATCGTTCTTGGAACTGTTTTTTACTGGAAAAGATAAGAATTTTTTTGAGTGTGGAATCATGAAGTTGCCTGAAAAGTGGCAAAAGGTAATTGATCAAAGTGGACAATATGTTGTTTAATACAGTTGAAAAAAACGCAATTACTTTTTAGCCGATTTGTTGAAGGTTGTTCCACCCCCCCCCCAAGATTTAGCTCTGCCTTTAGATTGTTGTGTAATTGGAAAGAAACACTGTATTTCTGTATCGTGTAAAAGTTTATATATGAGTGTACTTTTAAAAATTCTGTTCTTGCTTGTGTACCTCTTTAGTTATGAACAGTTTATCTTCAAGGCTTGTACATATTACTGCTATTAATTACCATATCATATTTATTTATTATCATTATTTTTATTTATCACCATTAATTACCAAATCTTTCTGTGGGGAGACCTTATTGCAGTCTTCCAGTTCCAGAAGGGGGCCTACAGGAAAGCTGGGGAGGGACTTTTTACAAGGGCAGGTAGCAATAGAATGAGGGGGAATGGTTTTAAACTGGAAGAGGGGAGATTTAGACTAGAGATTAGGAAAAAATTCTTTACCATGAGCGTAGCGAGACACTGGCACAGGTTGCCCAGGGAAGTTGTGGATGCCCCCTCCCTGGCAGTGTTCAATGCCAGGTTGGTCAGGGCTTTGGGCAACCTGGTCTAGTGGGAGGTGTCCCTGCCCATGGCAGGGGGGTTAGACTGGATGAGCTTTATGGTCCCTTCCAACTCAAACCTTTCTATAATTCTATTGTATAAGCTTCCCTCAGTTCCTCTTATCTAGAAATGAGTGTCGTTTTCATGTTGTTAAGACACTGTACCTGACTATTTTACTAAACCTTTATGATCACAATTTCATCTTCCTGAGCAGACATTTGAATTGAAACCCTGGTGTTGCTGGACTCAGTGATCACTGCTAATATTTATGGGATTTTGTTCTTAGCATTGCAGGCTTCATTTAGGTACGTAGTTTTGCAATATCATTTAAGACTGACTCACTTTAAAGCATCCAATCCATTATCTATTTACCTACTTTGCAAACTCAGCCTCTTACTGTTTTAGTAAATATACCTTCTAAATTATATACTCGTTAATTCCTGATTCTTATGCACCCGAAGGTTTCTTTATTGCATTTATTTTTTGTTTTGTAAGCACACAGCTTTTGAGAGACTGAGTTAGCTAGAACTTCTTAGTATAGGTATTAAGAGATTCCTATTCCTGATCTTGTTATTAGCCTTGCAATAGTTCATTTGGGAAACATCTGTTTGCCGCCTTCAGTGTTTGAGACCGGCCATTGAAGGAGGAAGCATGATATGGAATGGAAAGCTGTCTTCTCTAATAATCTTTTGAAAGCTTTGTCAGTAGTATGTATTTCTGAGAAGAAATAAAGGAGTAACTACTTAGCAATTATTTTCTTTCTCCGTCTTCCCCTCTCCACCCCTCCTAGTGATTAGTGCATGTGTTCCTGGTGAACTTCACTGCCTGTTTCAGCCCACTCTCCTGTGTTTGTTTTGGATTTTTGTTTGGTTTGGTTTTTTTTCTTCTTTGCCGTATCAGCACCATAATAATAAAATTGTCTGTACTATTGAACTAGAAGTAGCAGGTCACACACTTTGATCAGTTCATTCTTTCTCTTGAATTCAGCTAAATTTAAATGAGATACTCTGTAAGTAATTACTTACACCAAAAGTAATGCATAATTATTTTTACTCTTTGCTGTGTTGTTTTAAAGTCTATGGTGAAAATAAATACTTGTTTGCCTTTTTAAACTGAATCACACACATCCCCAAACCTCTCTTCCCTTCAAGTCCCTGACAGTGTGGGGAGCTGTGGGAAGCCTGATGTCTTTTCAACAGGAAAAGAGGTCTCTGATTATTCTGAAACACTTAACAGAGATTAGGAAGTAAAACAAGAGTTTAAACAGGCGTATTTGAAAATCTAGAATAAGTCTGAATGTATTGCAATACTGTGTCAGCACAAGGTCTCAGCTTCAACTAACTTGTTTTATCTTCTGCTTCTCCTTCCCCCCTCCCCTGCCTTCTCTTTAAATTTTTCTTTTGTGGAGGTATTCAGTCTTCTCTGGGGCAAGAGACAGGTTCTCCTGCATGTATGTGTCAATCTCTGAATATGCGTTTGACTGCAGGTATCCTGAATTCTGCACCACTGCTCTTGCCTGGTCGACATGCATTGAATGCAGGATTGCTGGCTGCCAGCATTGGTGGAATGGTTCCATACATGGTTGATCCTAGTTACACTATGGGAATTACTTTTTTAGATTCTGTCTCGTCTCTCTCAGCCATTATAGGTGAAACAAATTAAACAAGCAGTTCATTCTTCAGGTTTCCAAGTTTCTTCCTGATGGCTGTTTTACCATCCTGCGTCACTATCATCATATTGTCTGTATGTTAACTTGCAGTAGCAAGTAGCAACTGACTTTCCTAAATCTTTAGAACAGTTCTGTTTTACAGCTAGAACAGGCTGTATACATATAGTGTGTATATAATTACGTTTTGCAGCTATGACTTAATGGAGGCTTTTATATGATAAACTGATATTTTCAAAGACTTTTTGAAAAGTTCATCCTTAAAATACTTATAAAGGCACTGGATGTACAGGTTGTCATGATAACTTAATAAGATTATCCCCATGTGTAACTTCCCCCATTCACTCACACCAGCTGTTGCAAAATTTACCCTACATATTACCATTCTGTAAACAGAGGCTTACAAAGTCTGCTCAGTATGAATACTTTACTTGTATGAACAGTTCCATGGAACTGGTGGGATGTTTTTGTGAGTAAAAACATGTGACTAAGCACAACATGAGGACAGTGGAGTGCCCTTCCTGTCTTAGAAGGCAGCATCAGTAAATCAAATCTTTGGGCCACAGCTTTATGTCTCCTATGTTGAAAATACTTGGATTGGATTATTAAGTAACTTCATATTTATTTTTTAATGCTACAGGCAGTCCTCTTTGCATGTTCTCCTTAGACATAGCTTATAGTGTGTATTTTCTTTCCTTTTCCAGGGTGTCACTTTAACAGCAGCTATTGGAGGTGCTGACATGCCTGTAGTTATTACTGTCCTGAACAGTTATTCTGGATGGGCTTTGTGTACTGAGGGCTTCCTACTGAACAACAACTTTCTGACCATTGTTGGTACACTCATTGGCTCCTCTGGCACCATCCTCTCTTACATCATGTATGTGGTAAGAAGTGAGCAGAAATTGTGCTTGTTTTCCAAGTAATGAGAAACCTTATTCAGCATGTTTGCTAGGGAGATAAGCAATCAGAAGACAAGACTGCTGTGTGTTTAGAGACTAGAAAATCCTTGACTGAAACTGTTGGACTAGACAGCAGTCACCTCTCTCTGGTTTGGAGAGATGCCCACTTCAAAACTGAGGAAAGCCTTTGCATTGATTTGGACATTCAGGGTTTCAATCTGGTCTCAGATATATGATTACTTGTACTCAGCTGTCTTTTTAGTCATGTCACTCTGCTGTGTTAAATTTAAACTAAATTTAAAATATATCAGCAGGAGGTATTTTAAGTAGTGGGTTCCTTTAAAAAAATCAACAAAAAACAACAGCAAACCAACACATTTGTTATGACTAGAGAGTAATTTAAAGTGTATTTTGAAGTATAGGAAAGTGTGCTGCTTTCTTCAGAGCAGCTACTTTGAAGTACCACGAGGTGGCAGCAGGCTTGCATTCATGTATTGCTGATACTAACGTCTGTGTCAGAGCAAACTTGAGCTTCAACTCTCTAATTATATTGCATTATTAGTAATAGTATTCTTTTTTTCCTGGAATATTTTTTCAGAAGTCTCTCTTGTTTTCCCATGTGTGTCTCCTTTTTGTTTTTGAAGATGGAGAGGTAACGACTTTAAGAAAACTGTTCACAGTGCAGCAGCTGCCAACCTCTTGATTCTCTGTTGTATAATTCTGTTTCACTTCTGCTCTTGTGTTCCTGTATGTGTCAGTGTCGCTATTCTCCTGTCTTGATGTTTTTCTATGGTCAGCCCTGACTGTCGTATTTTATGTCCTCTCTGCTTATAAATAGTGTCATTATCACGTTAGGAATGTTCAGTATCATTAATTTTCATCTCTCTTGAGGAACAATTTCAGAAAAGCTTAAAAAAGTATTTTTGTGCATCTTCATGGAGGTGAGTTAAAATTGTGATAAATGATTTAGCCTCAAGCAGGATTCCAATTAAAGTTTACAGTTTATTGAGTAAAGGCAAGCAAACAGCGCTGGGTGCGTGGGGACAGAATGTCCTGATCCTGTTCTGATCCCTCAAGCCGCATGCCGTACAGGTCTCTTTTGGGGTTTATATTTCTTTAACTAATACATATTCATGGGATTTCGCAATATGCATATACATATGCATGACCTATCCCAGCTTCATATTATAATTAGCTCTCCTCCCATCTGCGCTTGCACAGTGTCCCTTGCTGGTGGTCGTGGGGGGGTCGCAGAGGATGTTCTCTTGGTAACCTTTGTTAATTTTTTCTTCTTGCGTAGACTTAGTTAGTTCTTGGCTCTTGCTCAAACCACAGGACCGGTATTATCTCACTTCTGAGGGAGTGTTTTTTCTTTCTGGCGCCTTATGGGTTTTACACAACTATATACTCCATTCTACTTGTTCTCAATCTGTTCTCCGTACAAGGACAGCTAAAATAGTCACAGAGGTCGCATCTTCCCCATTTTCTCCACATTATTTTAACACGAATCAGACTGACATATCTCACAAAATGAACAATCTCAGGTATGAATTTTAAAGCATCTTGTTATTACATGAACATTTTATATTTCCTTATCAAAAGGAAATCAGATTATGTGGCACTATATAAATATTTTTGTGTGTGTGTGTATGTATGTATAAATAAATAAATTACTGTTTGGCCAACCCAATAGCTCTGTCTTCTTTACTCCCCTCCATCAGTATTTATATACAGTGATAAGATTCCCCTAAGCCTTCTACAGGCTGAAGTATCCCAGCTCTCAGCCTCTCCTCTCATGACAAATACTCCAATCCCTTAAGCATTTTCGACCTACTCTTATCATGTTCCCATAAATTCCATAAATTTTTGCTGTTGCAAACAATACTGTTATTAGAGTTCTTTGAGTATTGCATGGAAGGATTATTGGAGTGTTGTGGCCAGTCCCATGGACTTATTCTGTGGGAGTGCTACTCCAAAAAGCAGAGATAATTCTTATGTGCCAGTATTGACCCAAGTCCTTTCCTCTTTGTTTTTCATAGACCTTATATGTATTGACAGAACTGGAAAGATATCATGTCTCCCTTGCTAATTGTTTGGGAAACTATTTTCCAATTATTGTAATTTAATATTTTAAAATTAGTCAAGGTTCAGTTTTCATTTGAAACAAGATATTTGGACAGATATTGGTTAGCCAGACTCGTTCTCTGATTTCCATGTGTTTATTGCAATCAGATGGTGACTTTCCTTTGGAATTAATACTCTGGCAATTAATGGTGGTGGGGGGAGGAGGGTTATTTGTTTTGATTTTCTTCTTCCACTATTTTTCCAAGTTTCTGGAAAAGTTGCATAAAAGTCTTTGCAGTGTTTTAAAGCATGTATTGTGATGGATAACAGCAGGATTGTTGTAGGGTTTAGTAGCAATTACTTGTTAGTGTTCACCCAGAATGTCACAATTTTGCATATAAAATTGCTTTTTAGATGTATTTGTGCAAACACACATGAGAAATGAGTGTGTGGTGGTATATCTGCTTCCTGGAGCAGTTCTCTTAACACCTTATTTGTTTAGCAAAAGGTCCGTGTGTGTCCAAACTGTATTAAAATTTTTGAAGAATCATTAGTTGTGCAACAAAAGAACCTTTCTTAGCTAATGCGATGACAGTGTTGCATGCTTTTGGCTTTCCTTTAAATATTTCTGTGTGGGCAAGCTTTTATATCAACAAAGTTGATAAAAAATAATTACTGGTTTTGCCTTTTATGTTGGCCTTGCAGGGGAGAAACATGAATGAATCCTTGAAATAACTGTCTTATACTTGAATAAGTCAATTTCTGGAAGGAATCACTGCAGTGGTTACCTAGTATTTTAATGAAATTTTAAATTTTGGAAATTTTAAAATTTACAGTTTGTGGTCATTTAGGCCTTTCATCACTTTGTGGAGCTCTCATTGAGTGCAACTGGTTTCAGTAGGACTGAAGTGCCTCAGGACCCTAGTATGCTCACCATCCAGATGTAGTGACACTCTCACACATCTGCTGTAGAAGGGTGCCAGTGTGGACATACGATTGCCATCAGTTTGTAATGCCCATACCATGCCAAGAAAAATTGTATCTATCATATGGTCTTTTTTTGCTTTATTGCTCATGATTGATCCAGAGACACTGTTGTTTTCATTTACTTTGCCTATAGCCATAACATTCTCAGGGAAGAGCACAGATTACATAACATGATGCACAACCTATTATGACTAGGGTTTGAATTTAGAAATATGGGAGAGTTTGGAAACTTCTGACTGTTTTAATTATTAAATTGCATAGCTAACATCCTAGCTTACTTGAGGTGTTCTTGCAGATTACACCTTTAATGCATTACTAGGGCCACACAGAAAGCTGGATATTGCTGTCCCTTCATTATAGCTTTCCCTTGTTATGGATGGGTAATTAGTTCTATTTAGCTCAAACCAGGACAGTAAAACAAAAAAAACCTTTCATAGGCTAAATCCTGCAGTCCTCAGAATTCATTGGCCTTGGAGAGGAAATTCTTATTCTACAACTAGTGTTGTATTTCAGCAAAGTTAAAACTGAGTAAATTGGTAAGGCGAGAACTTTCAACATAGTTCTTCAACCATATGCTGTGTTGTTTCTAGGCCTCTAGTTGTGAAATTCAGATTTCTTATATATAATGAAATTATATTCTATACTAAGTCTATATATAGAATATATAATTCTACAGTATTATAATACAGTTTAAAACGGTATACATTCTCATATGTGCATAGGTAATTGACATTGTCTATGTCTACATAAAGTTAAGTATCATAGCTTTTCTCACAGCATAACTTTCAAAGAATCACAGAATCACAGAATGTTAG